TCTACAGCCCAGACCTATCTCCATGCCATTTCTATTTCTTCTCTAGGTTGAAATCTAACTTGTGAGGTGTTAGGAGGGCTGCCTCCAAACGAATTCATTCCCTTTGTTGACACTTATGTTCATTAACCACAACTATATTTTCCTCCATTTCAGCTCGTCACTGATCCTATCCTGGACTGTGACGCTCTTTCCTTTCCACTGTATTACGTTCAATCTCTCTGGACTTTCCCACCCGGTGATGCATCTTCCATCAATGCTTGTTCGTCTTGTCACCTTGCGCCTGTTGACATTGTGGTTAATTGAAGGACACCAAGAGCATAACACTGGCGACGGCGTTCTGAGACGGATCTCATTATGTCATTTACAACAACATTTGAAAGCAGTCCTCCAACAACAACAAACGCAGTCCGAACAATCTCAATTGCGACTTATTCAAACTCTTGTTCAGTCCCTCTCTCTTCATCCAACAGTTCCATCAACAAGTACCAGTTCGGTGCCCTCATTCGATTCCATTGCGGCTTCTATCTCAGAATTTCACTATGAGCCTACATCGGGTCTCATTTTCGGTTCCTGGTACAAGCGCTTGAAGGATGCATTTGAGAATGAGTTTACGCATAAAGGTGACTCGTGGAAATCCTGACTCTTAATCCGAAAACTTGGAACCGTCGAGCATGGTTATTTCATTAACTTCATTCTTCCCAAGCAACCCAGATCTTGATTTTGTGCACACAGTGGAATTACGCGAGATTTTCAGCGATCAGCTTACGTTTTTCAACGTCCGGTACAACTGTCTTAAATTGACGAAGCGTGATACAGCCGATTACGTCACTTATGCTGACATCGTAAACCGCGAGTGCGAACAGCTTCGATTGCAGACACTCATCGAAGATCAGTTTAAATGTTTGATTTTTGTTTCAGGTCTTTATTCTCCCAGAGTCGGATGCCCGCACTCGATTGTTTTGTAAACTTGAACACCAACCGAATAACACCGTTAAATCTCTCACCACTGAACGTTGACATCTTACCGGTCTTAAGCACAATGCCGCCATGGTGCAAGAATGGCTAGCACCAGCTTCAAGCAGCGTCTATGCATTGACACGAAACACTGTTCAGCCTAACAAAAGCCACCAACTCCCTGTTGGTCATGTGACGAATGGCACTACGCTCGCTTTTGTGCTTTCAAGTAACAGCAGGGCCAGCAATGTCATAGTTGGAGTCACGAAGAAGGCTTTTGTTCAGAAAACCAATTATGCACAAAGCGTCCACAGTTCAGCCAGAGAAATGTCCAGAAGGCAACCATACAGAAAACGCCCCCAGTCGAATTCTGTGTTTGTAACCTTCCAAGTCGATTTCGAATCTAGAAAGTACTTATCAGTTCTCCTCAATGATACCCCAGTCCGCCTCCAAGTTGACACAGTTTCGGACATTACGTTGATCTCACGTTCCACGTGGGAGTTAAACCTGTAGACCAACCATATTCCAACAGACAATGGATTCCATATTACCTGGGCTATCAGGAGTAGCTGCTTACCTTGATGACATTATCGTCATTGGTTGCAGTCAGGAACTGCCACATCGCCTACATTGCGTACTCGATCGAATTCAACAATATGCTTTTCGTCTTCGCGCGGAAATATGTATTTTCTTCTTAAACTCCATAAAATATCGGATTTATTTTCAACAAAAGTGGTCGTCATCCTGACCCAGAAAACATTTCTACCATCCAACAAATGTCCCCACCGACTGATCTAACTACCCTACGATCTTTTCTCGGGTTGGTAAGCCATTGTACTATTTTTTACCTGATATGCATCATGTTCGAGACCCGCTCAACCATCTTTTAAAAATGGATGTGCTGTGGAATTGGTCAAAAGGATGCCAGTCCGCGTTAGACAAAGTTAAATCGCTGTTGAGTTCTGATTTACTTCTCACACATTAAAACCCCGCCTTGTATATACTTGTCGTTTTAGACGCTTCTAATTACGGAATCGGAGCCGTCATCTCTCACGTTTTCACAGATGGTTCAGAGAAAACAATCGCTCATGCGGCCAGATCACTAATTGTTACGGAACACAATTATGGCCAGGTCGAAAAAGAAGCTCTGGTCATTGTTTTCGCTATCAAAAGTTTCATGAAGTGCTTTATGGACGTCATTTTATCCTCCTAACAGATCAAAAGCCTCTTCTCGAGGTCTTCGGATCCAAGAAAGGTGTCCCAATTTACACAGCTAATCGACTTCAACGATGGGCTGCTATGCTACATAGGTATGATTTTCCCATGAAATACCAGTCGACTAAAGATTTTAGCCAGACAGATGCCTTGCCACGGCTCATGAAAGCTCACCGCCAACCGCCTGAAGATACAGCTGTCGCGTCAGTATCGGTAGACCCGAAAATAAGCTCCGTGCTTGCTATTTTGTTGCGCGCACTACCAGTTACTTCTGCTATGATCCGTTGCTACAGGAAGTTATTCGTTTTCATCGCACTCACTGGTCGTCATCCAGCCCTTCTCATCAACTTCAACCGTTCTACCAACGTCGTTCTTTGGTCGAGGTCGATGGGTGTATACTCTTTGCCGAACGTGTTGTGGTACCTACCAATTTGCAAGAATGTGTTCTGAAATGGTTTCACTTCGGGCACCCTGGAATAAATCACATGAAAACCTTAGCACATAGTTACATGTATTGGCGGAACATGCATAATCCGCTGGAATAACTTGTCCAGACCTGTTCGAAATGCCAACTGTCGGCAAAATCCCCTCGCAAAATAGAATTGTGTTCATGGCCAGCACCAGATACCGCTTGGCCACAACTTCATGTTGACTTTGCCGGACCAATCAATGGCCAACACTATCTACTCCTGGTTTATGCCTACGGTAAATGGCCGTAAGTTTCACTATGGATCGTATTACATCTCCTGCTACCATCTTAAAGCTTCAGCATGTGTTTAGCCGTCTTGCGTTTCCACAGAGGCTTGTCTCAGACAACAGTACAGCGTTCACTTCGCAGAATTCTCCGCTTTTTATGAACAAACCAATGTCCAGCATAACAGATCGCCGCCATTCCACCCACGGTCCAACGACCAAGTGGAACGTTTTGTTGACACTTTCAAGCGATCGTTGTTAATACTCAAAGGGGAGGGGACTAATCCGATATCATCGAAACCTCCTTACTGAATTACAGCTCGACGCCAAATGTTAATACACGAAATGGAAACTCACCGGCTGAAGCTTTAATAAACCGGGAGCTACGCTTACTCCTCGATGTCATTTGTCGTCTCACTTCCGCCGATTGGTCGAAACCTCCGCATGGAGAACCATTTCAACCCGATGCCGTGAATCGCACCTTTCGCATTGGTCAATCTGTGTTGGCTAAGGGTTATTGTGGTGGCGATGAAAAGTGGACGCAAGGTCCTATTGTACGCTGCACAGGCCAGGTAACCTATGAAGTTAATGTACGCTCTACAATATGGGTCCGCCATGCCAACCAGTTGCGTTCGTCCCCCTGCCAAACAACGCCTCACGATCCTAATCTTCCCATCGACATTCTCCTGGATACTTTTGAGCTCTCTCAGAGTTCTCAACCCAGGAACAAACCACACAGCCAGTCCATACAGTCGATTACACACCGAGAAGATGGACAGCTCGAATCAGACGGCAGCGTGTGGCTATGCAGTTTGATCCACGACAGCATTCATACAAACATCCAATTCCAAGGGGAGGTGTAAGCGGGCTGCCTTCAAACGAATTTATTCCCTTTGTTGACACTTATGTTCGTTAACTACAACTATATTTTCCTCCATTTCACCTCGTCACTGATCCTCTCCTGGACTTTGACGTGTTTCCTTTCCACTGTACTACGTTCAATCTCTCCGGACTTTCCCACCCGGTGGTGCATCTTCCATCAGCGCTCGTTCGTCTTGTTACTTTCCGTTTGTTGACATTGTAGTTACTTGAAGGATACCAAGAACATAACAAGTGGTCATCACCATGTAACCGTGGAAAATTTGTAACCGATAAACTAAATACTTACGGGAAATGACTTTCAGTATGACTACTATCAGTAGAAAAAACGTTGGAACCAGCGTGTACCTCCTCAAGAGTCATACTTTGAAGGAGATAACTTGTGCTTTCGTGTGAGACTTATATACATGTAAATATAACATCAGGACACTTGCCTTTGGGGAACAGGTGTACAACCATGCTGTGTTTATGGTTTCCGTTCGTACTCATCGTAGCCTAAACACGCTACAATGAAGCCGATGGCGCGGGGATCGCGTCGCTAAAAACTTTGTTTCCAGCTTTGTGAACCCATCGTCTGCAATCGATAAATTTTCCTGCTTCGTGGCGATGGATTTGAAGTTAAATCAGTTGTTCTCAAACACAGAGGAAGCAAGCACGTCGGTCTAATAGTGAAAAAAAAAGTTTGTTCACTAAAGAGAATGGGGATGTGATCTGTGTGACCTCGGCTGTGTCAGAGATTTGTCTTTTCTTCTCATTCGGGTTTTCCGCTTCCTAATACAGCGGCGGTGGAGGATGTAGCTCGGCGATTTTATCGCCACCTGCAGTAAAGTGATACTAACTTTGTTGATGCCGACATTGCAATTAATTCCCTATTCACTCCAATGAATGGACCAGTTTTCTCATTAGGATCGGCCGGTGATCGGAAGAATTGCACATCTGCATTGTACTCCTGAAGTCGCCGGTTCGAATCCGCTTAGGTGCTCGCAACCTCGTGTCATACCTGGACCTCTCGCTACTGGTGGTGATCGCGTGGCAGCGAACCGTTGATACGATATGCCGGCATGCTGCTCCATCTCTTTCCACCTCATTTCGTAACCTAAAAATTCTGTGCATCGGTTCTGTTTTGTATGTTATCCAGCTTGTCAGAACCGCCATTCGGCGTATGTATATTTAACTTATCACTGCCTAGAATCATCATGTGCAAAATGTGTTTCCGTCAAAAACAAGTGAACGCAATTGATGCATGTTATTCTCTTTTAGGTTTTCGCCGATAGACTAGACGTTCCTAACTTCCATTGATCCCCAACATGATGGCATCGTGTTTTCTTCGGTCTTTTTCATACAACTCATCGAAGACGCTGCTTCTGCTGCTTAGAGTAAGTCATGTATCTTCTGAGGCACCGCACATCTGTAGTTGTCGGCGTGAGCTTCACCGAATTATTCTCTTACGTGTTTTACCACACTGTGGTTATGCCATGGTCTTGCCTTACTTAACTTAGCCTGCTCTGCTCGTAATCCAGTCTTATGGCTGTTAGCACCCAGCGTCGATGATTGGTTAAGCAGATTTCGCTCAACATACCCTACTCCGATCAGTAAGTGACGTCTTTTCTCATCATAACCTCGTCGTTTAATTTTTCACTTTTATGGCTGTATGCTTCTGTCTACAGATGTACACAATGTGTTGCGCTCTGCTATCCACTTTTCTCACTCTTGGTTTTTGTTTTTACCCCATCATATATGAGAGAGCCTTTTGAAACTAGAGCTGGGCGCATGTTTCCACAGCGATGCGTTTGATCCAAACACTAGTGCTCCCGACACCTGCTTACACACTGGTTATTGCATCTACACTGTCATCGGTCAGAGCCATTTCCTTTGTAAGGGACATGCCATCGACAAAGGTTGGATATAACTCCTAATGATTAGGAGGATTTTAATTATAATTTTAATGTTTTCGTCCCGGTAGCTCACACGCTACACAGCACAGTCTAGTCCAGAAAGGCACCAAACGTCTTTTGCCTTATTGGGGCTCGTCAGTGGTGCGCATTCTCTCGGTTCCCTACTAGGGATCGAACCCATGACCGCCACAGGCAGATGCCAACTAGCTAGCGGCTTAAGCCACTGAGCCATGGGGGACGTCGGTTGAGCTACATACTTTGTAGCTCAACTTTGTAGTTGGTTAGTTGGCATCATGGGTTCGATCCCCAGTAAAGGACCGAGGGAATGCGCGCTACTGACGAGCCCCAATATTGCGAAACGCGTCTTGTGCTTTTCCGGACTAGGCTGTGCTTTGTAACTTATAACCTACTGGGACGAAAACATTAAAATTTGATATGACTCGCGTATGCCATTTACTTGCTGGGAGGTTGATGTACAGTCATATGACGTTCGGCTCACTCACAGGCTCAATATGTGCAGGCAGCTTCCTATTGATTTTATCTCACCACTGCGGGTTTAATTGCTTATTGACTCCTCGTCCATGTCGACTAAACCAGACAGGTGTCAGACAAATAGTACCGTACCGATCTCTGAAGGTGGATGAGTCCATGGGGCTAGGCTATGCTAGGTGACGCTCGTCGGTAGGTGTTGCTTGATTTGTTGTATGCAATCGACTATGCTGTTTTGGCCTGGTTTTCAAGTTGTAACCTCTCATAATTATCTGTTAGATTGCTTCTTGGCCATCGCCGTTCCAGACCGCTAGGCAAGCATATTAACCGATATGTGTTTAAGCCAGGCTTGCTATACCAATCCAGATCTTCTTTGAATTCTCATGCTGGCCCATGGCCCTAAGAATCACAAGCCTGTCTTGTAATCCGAGGGCGCTGTTCGACCTTGCCTAAAGGACCGAGCGACTATCGCGGTATCCTCAGCCCACGCGCAACTGATGGTGGTGTTAACGCGACAACGAAGCGTCCATACTGTGTACCGGCGTACTGCTGATGCCTTTTTGTACTTTCATACTTTATCCACACGCAAGTTTCAAATCACAATTTATGCACCTTTCACTAATTTTAAATTTACTGAGTGGCAGGGTTTGTGAATGCGACACGAGTATTTCGCTGGAGCTAGTCGCACTTGTGTTGTATAAGAGGGACACCCTTAACATGAATTCCCAAATTCTTTGTCAGCTCCTGTGGTCCTCAATACTATTTTTACCAGGTTGCTTGTTTATCCGATGATCATTTTCATTCTTGGCTCTAACAAAGTGCTAATAGAGCCTTTGCAACATTTCCAGGCCCGTCACGAGAGCCCTAGGGATTGTAGTTCATATGTTTTGCTGACAACTCTTTTGCCCTGGATTCCATTCGTTGTCCTTGTTTGCCTTTAGGTGCCCCCGCATTGTTCCAGCCCACATGCGACCACTCGCGGATACATAGCAGAGTATGGCCGATTTATCACCCAGCGTATCTGCTGCATATGAACACTCTGTATGCAGGTGTTTGCGTCTACTCGCCTGATGTTGCTACCCCTCGATCACTTGTCTCGACAGGCCGCTACTCTATTGCATTAAACTTGATATGCATTCTTCGTGGCAGTACTGGACTCAAAAAGTACTTTCCTATTGGAACAATTCATAGCCCAGTCACCGCCTTGCGTGCATCCCATGCGCTTGCGTTCCTTCATTTTAGAGCTACAATACACATGTTAAAGGAGAGCAGGCGAGCGCCGCATGTCTCCAACCTTTTCACCTCTGATTTACACTGCATGCAGATGGAGCGTTTTGAAGAAAGACATATGTAGTCTGATGGCTTTTTCGTCTAAATATGGACCTTGTTGCCCTCATCCGGTTCCGGATTTGCCTGTCACTGCGGTCTCCATAACACAGTCATAGGACCACTGCGCCTAAAAAGGGACCATGGGTGGCTTGCGCCGCACCACCCACTGCTCCATCCACATACCCCTTATTCAGTGTAAACCCGTAGGAATAAGGCCGGGAGGCATGTGGATGAGGGCCACGTTTCATCAACGGAGCCGGCCCGTACTTCTTCAAAATGTACAGCATCGGCATTCCTCTATACGTAGGGAGTCATGCGTACCAGCCGTGCACAAGATGGCTGCTGGGCCGTAGACTGCTCCACAATGGGTGGAACCAATCTTTGAGCTCAGCACGGCCAGTCATACATAATATATTGTAGACGTTTGCTAGAGGTGGGAAACGTCGTCGCAACGAGACTAAATCTTAACGACGTGCGACGGTTTACATATCTCTGAGCCATTGAGCTATATTTATGGAGTCCCCTGGCCCCTTGAGAGCCACTCCTACCAGGTTGGTCAATAGTTAGTAGTCAGACAAGCTCAGTCTCCTGGTCCACTAGGTTTGGGGTTTGAAATGAGATGGCGCCCATTTTTGTAAACTAAATCATTGCCACCACGATGTCATGCGGATCTGGCATTGGTTTGCGAGACCGCGAATCAGGACTGAAGAGCCGCACTGAAGATGTTGCCTAGTTTGGCAACGAAACGTCTGCAACCGAAATGCCCAGCTCGGAGAACAGGACAATCCTCTCATCCACACCCCGAGCTACAAGTATTCTTTATATTTTCCAAGACGCTGTTTGTTCGCAGTTTCCGCTTATGCTCCCACCGACTGTAGTTCTGATGCTGCCAAGCATACATTCTACCACAAAGTGAACACGCTAACACGTAGTGCTACCAGTTCAGTTATTGTAGTACTTACAGGAGATATGAATGCACAAATACGTCGCCTGGGCTATTCAGAAGCTCAACTAGGTGGTAATTATGGGCTTAACTCCGATCGGACGGACAATGAATAAGGCCTATTACAGCTGTGTACGGAGTACGGGATGTTTCTTAGTAGCCGCTACTTTCAGATACAGTGGGTGCCGAAGTGCCACTTGGGATGCTCCTGTAGCTGGCCTGCGATGGACCCATTGTTTTTACTTACAGGTGGCATGGTTCGATCCTGGATTGCCGCTCGTTTTGCAGTACTTGCGTCGACTCTGATCATGCCTCTGTACGCTTTCGTTTTTCCATGATTTTTATTGGGAGGCGTACCAAGCTTCTTCTTCAATTGGTAACTGAGCATTTATCCTAGCCCTTGATCAGGCAAGCCCACCAAGATGCACTGCGTGCGGCGCCTTCGCTCCCTTGTCCTAATGACACTGACCTTTTTTGGAATAGGATCTCCGTCGCCAAGTACGAGTCAGGAGACTCTGCTTTTTGTACTATCAGTCGTCACCACGACACTCACTAGATATCCGAGAGATCGATGCACCTGTTGGAATCCAGAAGAAACCCCACGACTAGCTCTGAGCACAATGTGATTAGACGAACAATTAGGCGCAAACTAAATCGGAGCCTACGTGCTGACACTGAAGACTGATGCACCAATCGGGCTCAAGAATGGGAGGATACGGTAGCAATAGGGAACTATCGGGGGGGGGGGACCGCATGGATATGATGATGTTCGCTCAGACAACGGGGAGAGACTGCCCAGTCTGTGTGCTTATCATCAGCTTTTCATCTCCAGCATGAGCTTTCGTCATCCTGGACATCGATACGCCACTTGGCGCCCCCCATCATCAACCCAGCGCTGGTCACCGATTGACCACATAGCCATAAGTCGCAGGTGGCGCGGCAGCGTACGCGACTGCCGATCATTTTGGTTAACATGCGTCGATACTGATCATGCATTGGTATGTGCGACCGTTTCCATGCGTTTCGGTGGTTCGCTTAGGTCCAAACACACCCGACTGAACCCCTACAAGTTGGAGGACCCAATGGGAGAAGCAGTATCAACAAAGGCTTTGTGCAAATCTCGCGCTCTCTCCCACTCTAGATGTTTATCAACACTGGTCAAGTCTGCAATAAGCCATGCTGTCTGTCAGTTTGTTCAGCTGCGGTCTCGCTCGCTCCACTCCCAAAAGCTGGATCTCGGGAAGATCCTTGGAATTTCTGGATCACTGACGGACGGTGCCTTGTGGCGCAGAGTACAACGAACACCGGCGGACTATTACGCAACAGCCGAAAGCAAGCCCTCTCTCTGATCGTGAATTTTGATGATCAAAACAAGCTGATGAGATGGAAGCCGCTGCAACAGCTGCCAGCTTCCGCCGTCTATTTTGCATCATCAGGCCACCGGTTGGAAATCCCACGCTATAAGTCAAACGATTTGGGAATCAGTTGGCACGATCACTAACCTTCACAGGCGATTGGGTCGTTGGGCAAAGCCTTTCGCTCTTCAGTTCAACCAAAATAGCCGCTTATGGAACCTCCAGCCTCAACGGATGATGCTTGGCCTGTCTCCACAGCCCCCCCCCCCAAATGCAGCAGAGATCCGAGATGCAATCCAATCTTTGAAACGCCACAAGGCTCCGGCTCCCGACAGCCTACTACCGGCTCTATTCAAAGATGGCGAGAGTGTACTTTTCAGCGAAATCCTATCGTTGTTCACGAAAGTTTGGACTGAGAAGAGGGTTCCGAACTTATAGGGAGAATGGGTCATTGTTCCTATTCACAAGAAAGGCTCCCGCGACGATTGCTGCAACTACTGTGGAATCTCGTTACTCTTTGTTGCATCCAAAATTTTCGTGTCGGTCCTACCTCGCAGTTTTCAACAACTAGAGAGGAGTTT